CGGCGTTTCTCCGCATGACTGTCAGCATCTGTTCGCCTGCAGTTCCCGGCCACGCACACAACTCACCCCAGCGGACCTTTTGTTCAAGCTGGTCGAGGTCTCGGCTTTTCCAAGTCTACTAACTACTACTAGTTTGGATTCCAGCGGGGACTCCTGATCCAACAATGGGCTACGACACACACACACAGTGCACCTGCACTGTTGGCGGCCTGTGGGACAACCAATCACAAGGGATGCCAATGCGTAACCCCTGGCGGCTGCAAGTAAGTGCGCATGCACCGGTCTGACCAATCACCAGTTTGGATACCGGCCGGGACTCCTGATCCAACAATGGGTTACGACACACACATACGTACGGTGGAGCCTGTCGAACCTTCGGTGCTGAAGAATACGGTTAAATCGACAGTGTACATTTGTCGACCTCCTGATACTTTCTTTATCTAAGTTAAATTACTAATTGGCTTCGATACCTTTAATGTTTTAGAGACTTTGATGTTTGGTTGGTATGTCTAATTGTCGATACCCTCGAATAAAGCTTGGAGAGGGCACCCCGTCGAAATGCACGAGGCGGCTCTGGAATTGAAATAAATCATTTTAAAGTCCAATTACAACCGACTGCGTCCTCAACACAAAAGGACGATCTAGTTTGCCCCCCTCCCCCTCCCTCAGAAAGCCTGAGGGTGAGGATGATTTGCGAAACCTACACTGCCCCGCGTAAAATGAGTTCACACCAATGGCAAACAGTAGTATATAACTCTTGTAGAGATCACAAGTGACTCACGAGAGGGGAATTCTTCGGTAAGACTTACAAGTATGTATAAACGCGAAGTGTGCGGTCAAAATCAAGTCAATAATACCAGAGTCAGGAGAAGTGCAGGTAGCTGGCATGGCGTAAGCCTGAACCCCGGCGTAAAACCACACATCCGATATTCAGAATTTGTTACGGGTGTGCATCTCTAGTAACGCCTACTAAATCCTCAGCTCAATACAGCCTGAATTTGAGCACTACAATCTTGATATATGCGTTAGTGACGACTTGGAGGTTCCATATAAGCTACTAATACGAATTTATCCAACAAAAGGACAGGTTTTTGCTATTTGTGATGTAGAGCTATTACTATTCAAACACTAATAAGTAAAACCAAAGGAGCGCAAATATGCTTCGGGTCCTGAAATAAAACAACGTACTTTGAGCTCCGTCAAAGGAGGGCCCGTGGTTGATAAGAACCAAGGTTCACTATCTTGAGCGTCTTGGTCTTCTTCTTTGACTGCTTTGCGGGAAGACATCGTCTGAGCGATAAAATCAGACACAGAATCCGACTGAAAAATCGAATTTCGACCCGATGTGAGTTTTGTGTCACCCCCGCGGAGATGAATCAGAACAGCCAGCTTGCATGCCAGTGAAAGGGCGCGGGGCACTAAGGCTGAAGTAGAATGATCAGAGCTTTGTGTGTATCCTAAGGCAGCCCATTGAACACAGGAAGCAACGCAGTCGAGAGAACCGTCGTCTTCTATGGTAAAGGAAGGGCCAGCGTAATTCAAAAAGATATTGTGTCAGAGGATATTTGGGTAGTGGTGAGAGAAACGGCAAGTAAGTCACGTAGTGTATCATAATGGTTTCCCTTAACTAGATCACTCTCTGGGGAGCTGGAAGGTCTTTTATCACGGCACACCATTGACAAAATAGATAGGAATACACAAAGAAATGAGGCGAAAAGGATGTTAGTTGGATTTAGGAACTGAAAACCGTTAATGTTGTTATGACCCGCTCCTGTTACTGCTAATTAAGTCGAACGCCGAACCAGAGAGCCCGTAAGAGAGAAGACCAGCCGGCCAGTGAAGACTGATCACCAAAAACCTGTGACAACGTCTTCAGCGTGTCTGCGAAGGAAATGACCCTTGAATTATTGGGCAAAATGAAGTTGGCGTAGCGTTCGTGCTCGGCAGGACCCACTTTGCGAAGGAAGAGTCGTACTTGCCATGCGTCTTCCTGGGGAGCCAGATCGACAGAGAATAAACCTTCATATCGTTTTTACCAGGAATCAAAAGTAACCTGGGCCCGCGGGTCATAAAAGAATTCCGTAATACTGCTGGCTATAGAATCGACGGATTGTGGGCCACCAGCAGAACTCGATTGGCCCGTGGAGGAGGTGGATAGCTTGGTGGTGAGTGTTTCCATCAGCTTCAGCTGCTGTTGCAACATCAGCTTCGAGTCCGCGCACAATTTCTCCATCGAAGAGTGAAAACTGCGTCGGCAATTGTTATGACCCGCCCCTGGTACTGCTAATTAAGTCGAACGCCGAACCAAAGAGCCCGTTAGAGAGACAGAGAGAAGACCAGCCGGCCAGAGAGAGAGAGGGAGTTTACTCAGACAAGCACGTTACAGCAAGTCAGCGCAAGTCATTGAGTCTAAAAGGTACAACAAATTTAGGGCAACGAACGGGCGTAAGTAAGGTCCATCGAGTCAATCAGCTTTTGGCTACCGACGCGATTGGCTGGGACTCGGCGGCTGACATTCAGCTTC